AAAAGAAGTGTGATTAGAAATTGGTCATGGTTAACAATTCATAAGTATGGTCTCTTGGATGCTTTTGTTCTCATAAATTAGATCTGTTCATTAGGCTGTTTTCAAAATGATCAGTCCAATATTTTTGAACTTACATGTACTTTCACAATACCAGAAAAGGAAAGACTTTATAAATAATAACCTGTTAAAGATGTTGCTGCTGCTAAAGGAATCTTGATAAAAAAACAGCCTATGAATTCTAGATAATTCTAGTTTTCTAATAGCAACATGTGTGCACAATAAAACAGATAAGTTTCAAATAAAGTCAAAGTTGATTACTTACATGTTTTTAGTCCTTGCACTTGTTTAAGAGAGACTGAACCGAGACCTTGATGTACTGCAGTGAACAGGAAGTCCTACTTTAACCAGCTCGTAGTTTGTCTCCACGGTAGACGGGATTTTTATACTCCATCCCCATCTCCACCCCATCCACAGCTCATAGCAGAAGAATGGGGAGAATTGTCCTCTTAAGAAAGGGATCAAAGGATTTTGAGTCACACATGTTCATTTTAATTGACTCTTTATAGAATTAATGGGACATAATAACATCTTAGTTTAATTGTTCTGACCTTTTAAACTATAGGCAGAGTCGTTTTACAGTCATTTTCCTGCCAGATCAGGTCTGTTCATTTAAGATGCTGACGTTGGTCATAAAAATAAATCCTTTATTTGTTCATATTAAAGGGATAAGAAACATTCTGTAAGCAAAGTCTGCATATTTCTTACTGACCCTGTTTGTTAATCTTTTTACATTGTTTAAGAGAGTAGTGAGTAGTATAATGATTTATGCATTTTGTGCAATGTCGTGATTGGTCAGAATCAGAGAGCCGTGTGATTAAAATAAAATAATTTCTTTTATGTACATTTGAAGAAATGAAGCTCCCTTCAACAAAGAGATTAGATCAGGGATTTGAAGGCAAAATTGTCTCAGACACAGTAATATTGCATGGTTATATTAAGTTAAATTGCAGTACAGTTAATTGTCAATTATTCTTACATTTATCTCTGATGGTCGTCGGAACAAGGACGACTCTTTGATGTATGACATTTATTGAGTTATTAAATGGAACGACTCCCAAAATTGGAAGGAGGAGAAAATATGAGAATGAAAATTCACATGCAAGAGAATTTATAAATGAATATGCCGTTTTATTTCCATGTTTTATTCTTAATTCTTTTCCCACCCTTTTTGCTGACAGAGAGTGAAGTGTTGTTCCAGACCCCATGAATTCAAACACCGGCCCCTGCAGTGATAAACGAAGAAACGTCTCTTACTTGACAAGTGGAAGTAAGGATCTGATGGCATAACTTCAAATCTGTATGTGCCCTTAGATTTATGGACTATGTTATAGAAGACAGTGTCAAGCAAGGATGAATTTTGTCCTTTTCTGAGACTATAGACTATAGAAACATTATCTGATCACCATCCCCAACCTGAAGCTCATGCTCCACCCAGAAGGCGTCTGGGAAAATGATGAGAAATAGCCTTTAAGAAGACCAATTACGGTAAGTCAAAATGACCTAAAAACACCAATACCTCAGCAATTTAGCTAATTATTACTAGAACAATGACTTTACAAGGGCTTTAGCAAATTGATATGACATAACTGTAGTCTATCTAGAAATTCTGGTCAGACTTGAACAAAAACAATAAAAAGGCCAGTATTCTTTCTTTCTTTCTTTCTTTCTTTCTTTCTTTCTTTCTTTCTTTCTTTCTTTCTTTCTTTCTTTCTTTCTTTCTTTCTTTCTTTCTTTCTTTCTTTCTTTCTTTCTTTCTTTCTTTCTTTCTTTCTTTCTTTCTTTCTTTCTTTCTTTCTTTCTTTCTTTCTTTCTTTCTTTCTATCCATCCATCTATCCATCCATACATCCATACATCCATCCATACATACATAAAAGCACATGAGTAAATTGAGGAAAGTCAAGTGATGCGAGTTCAAGTAGCATTTTGGAAATAAATGTCAGGCTCACTGTGGTCAAGCTGAAATGTCACTGAAAAACAGTGAGAAAGAATGAGAGATAATAATTGTATGATCACTAAAATTACAAAAGCGTCTCCCATTTCATTGTGTTCATCAGACGACAATAATTTTCGTTAATCAGTGAAATCAATGTAATATGGGCAGGTGTGGCACAGTAGATGAAGAAAAGTTGCATTTGCAAAACTTTCAAGGAGTGCTTAATGAGCTTTCAACACTGAACGTCTAAAAAACAGTGTTGCCCTGAAAGGATTGTCAACTGTAAGGAATTGTATAATCTCTTAAATGACTCTTATTATGTATTATAATAGCAGACACTTATTATAATGCTTTAGTCAGTCATACCCATAATTAAACATTCTGCAGTCCCAGTCTATCAATCATGCACATCATGACAGCTGGAAACACACAGGACAGTGTTGATGGTCACTGGATTTGAGCTGGACAGCGAGAACATGCGTTTGGAAAGATTCGGATATTTTCTCCTGTCCTTTCTACTTTGGTACATCACAGAAACCTCTGAACTTTCATGCTATGATCTGATGTCTGTAAATACGACTCGTACTTGAGCTTACTTGACTTCTTTATTATTCTGTTTTCCTCGTTCACATCACCGAACTGTGTGTCAAACATTCAACCTTCACGTCACTTCCGTTCCCAACGCTTAAAGTAACAAGCATTCGTTCTATCTTATTAATGTAACAAACATATTAATTTAACTAAACATCAGATTATCATACTAAGCATGCAACATTGTCATTCTCAATCACTTCTCAGAGATTCAAATCTCTTAATTATTATGAGGAATTAAGTGTGTGTGTGTTTAATATATTGCTACAATTGAAAGTAATACAGTATTAATTGACCAGCATTGGATTTTTAACTGTGGACTTTTGTTTCTGTGCTTCATCTCTTCTAATCTATCAGTAATTTAAAGGCATAGCAATTTATTACGGAAAAATGTTAACCCTTCAAGAACACTATCTCTTAGTGAGCTTTCCCTTTAGATCGCTGCATGCATGTACATATATACGAGCTGTGTGCATGCATGAAGTTCATTATTTTGTGCAGCCTTTGTTTTGAAAGCATAATGAACTCATTTCAGATCTATATTATGCTTGTTCATTTATCCATTTAATATTTGCACTTGTTTTCATACTACATCATGCCTTAAAGTTTAGATGCGCACAGTGTTGGGATTTTTTTTTAAAAGGATGTTTATCTCAGGGCTATTCATTTATAGCTTTAGTATGTGCATCAACTTTGATATTATCACCGGGTCTGCTTTGACATCACACAAAAACTTTCCTGTTCAATAGACCTTAGTCAGTATAGCGCCATATTTAATTTTTGACAGGAATTAAAACAAGCCTGGGAGGGATAAAATGTAGTGTGTTCAATGGATTGTAATGTTGCCAATCCAATTGTTCAGCTGACGAAATGTCTTTTACGAAAAAATAAACCCAAAAAACTTTCAGTAGACAAAAAAATACATAAAACTCTAGTTTTAAAAGTTGTGAAAATTATGTGATCTAGGATCTCTATACAGTGTGTCCCATTGTAAAGACTGTAAGTCTATCCCTCACACCCTCATTTTCGCCTGTTTTGTCCATCAAAGTTGATGTATTTGGTAGGAAATAGCACAACACAAAACAGTGTTGTAACATAATATATTCTAATCTGCATTTAAAACCCGCCTGGTAGCCCTTCTCTATATGATGATTGGCTGAGCCCTCAAGTGGGCAGGACTTGGTCAACAAATGGTCAATAATTATTATTATTTTTTATTTTTTTAATTGACATGGTTTACATAATTCACATCAATTAAAAATTTAAAAACACACCTCAGAGATAGACACAAATGTTAAGTCTTTTGCAACTTGTGAAGCAGGCAACTCGTTTGGTGTCCATATTGATAATCTTGCGTAATTGGCATCAAAATAGTTTAATTTTTTTTTAATTTTCGTTAAGTAATTTTGTATTTTAGTGGTAGTTTGAGAAGCAGCATTTAGTAGCATCATTGCAGTTTGTGGTTTTACTGTGTAACAGAATGAACCAGACTGCAATCTCTGAATCGAATATTTGCACGTGATTTAAATGCAGTATCAGTCACCAAGTTTTAATCTTAAGGCTTTTCATCTGACCAATATAAATGGGGGGTTTGGGGAGTAGGTAAGTAGGTGCCACCTGGTACAGTAGGGCGAATACAAGTAGGTCACTGCACAGCTTTAAGTTTATCCTAAACTAGTATGACATGACATTTAATGTAGCCATTTGGACCATATTTTTCAAAACAATGCCACTGAAAAAATAGTGTCCCACATTACCTGTATTCACTTTGTATGTGAAAATTGCGTAATTATCTGCTTAGTCTGACATTTTGTAATTTGTAAATGACAGCTCAGAACCAGAGCAATTATACTACAGTGTTCATGTATAGTACAATGTACATTTGACTCAGTAATTTTTGTAAAAGATAGATTTAAAGAAAAAAAAAAGTGTGACTCACCATGAAAATAATTTTTTTTCACACACTATTTGCAGTTCGGGTGGAGCGGAGGTCATTATATACCGATGTGTATAAAACATTTGAAGCAACAGTAGTTCATCCCAGAAAGACTTACTTTCACATACTGAGCTCTCTGTAAATAAAGAGATACAAGTCACATTCATGGACAAGGACTTCTAACTTGTAAGTATCAACACATTCATTATTTTAAGATTGTGACCTGGTTTTATTTAGTATATAATCATTGGATTTAGAAAACTAGCATTTTATATAAGATTAGGTAAGAAGTAAAGTACCAGTCAAAAGTTTAACTTTATTTTTCAGATTTTTATTCTAAATTCTCATAGAATTAGACTGCCATCTTCTAAAAAATAAAGCAATTGTAGAAGCCATTTATTTCGAATGATTAACCATCTAAGATGACAGCTTTGTTTTATAATTTGTCCATTCGCTCTCTCACCTTTGAAGCTTAAAGTATGTCTTGTGAGAATATTTGCACTAGGAACCAAACTGGAATTGGAAAAGCGGGAAGGGGAACGCAGCCAGTCAGTTTGCAATATCAGCCAGTGCAGTGATTCCAAAGGCATACAAGCATGTGGAAGGCATGGTAAGCGCTTCAAACTCTTCTGACTGCGCTGCATAGTGGGAATGAAATTTCAAATTTTAAGGTCTGATTGTTTTTTGCTCTTGCTTGTTCTCAGATGCAGTGCTGCAGGTGTGCTCTATTGACCTCCTTAAAGGCAGAAAAGGACAAAATCGACTGGAGCATCACACACATTATTATGAGAGCGATCACCTCATCATCCGTAGAGGACAGTGTTTCCAGATATGGGTTGAGCTGACACGAGCTTTTATTCCGAATAGAGACAAACTTCATCTGGAGCTGATACTTGGTCAGTTATAACCTTCTTTACCAACCACATGACAAAAAGTTTATTATTTCTACGCTCACTGGAATCACTTGTTCTTCTGTGTGCTTTACAGGTGATATCCCATCCATCCGAGACGGCACTCATGTGGTCGTTCCAATAGTGGAAGAATTCAAGAAAGACTGCTGGGGGGCAAAGATTGTTGAAAAGGGCCAAAACCGAATCAAACTGTGTGTGCAATCTGTTCCGACTGCTTGCGTTGGACGATACCAACTCAGTGTCGTGACTCACTGTACAGGAGGAAGATTCACTTCACCATGTGTTCCTGAAAATGACGTTTACATGCTGTTCAACCCCTGGTGTAAAGGTACGTGTTTCATTACACATCTGAAACTCAAACACACATATGCTGACAAGCTTTTAAGCAGAGAAGTAAAAATAGAAAGCACTTTTACATTTACTGCAACACCGTGTTGCATCGCGTCGCAACAGCTAGAAACGGTCTAACACTGGACGTGACAAAGAGACTATAGCAAATTTGTCCCTTCTATGAGAAGTATCGTGAGTGCTTGGAGTATGTCAAATATAGAACAAAGCATCAGTTTGCTGTCGGGATTTGTTGCGTCACATCCAGTGTAGACAACACCACTGATTAAAATGGGTTATATTGTATTTTGTTGCGTCGCATCACACCGCTCGTTTCCATGTAGACATGGTGTAACTCTTCAGTTAAAATTAAACTTTCTCTTCTCACTTTATCAGATGACTATGTGTACTTGGATAACGACTCGGAGAGAGTTGAGTATGTGCTGAACGACATGGGCAGAATCTACTATGGAACTAAACAGCAGATTGGCTGCAGGACATGGAACTTTGGTCAAGTAAGTGTTAAACTTTCATTCATACAGTATTACAAAACTCAAGCCTGAGATTTGCGTAGAAAGCCTGAGATTTTGTAAACTATTACTAGAAAAACTGGTTAACTGGCTGAAATGTTTCTATCTAAATTTTTTCACTCTGATCTGTGATAGGTAGTTTGAGGAGGGAGTCTTGGCTGCATGTATGTATGTGTTGGAGAAGAGTTGTACCCCTTGCTCAGGATGGAGAAGCCCCATCAACATCTCCAGAGTGGTGTCGGACATGGTGAGTATTCATTTTCTTTCCCATTTGAATTTGGAAAGCCTAACAAACTGTCTGATTTGCTCTGTTTTGCAAAAAACACAACGTTTTCAACCATCTCTCTTTAAAGGGGGGGTGAAATGCTGTTTCATGCATAGTGAGTTTTTTACACTGTTAAAGAGTTGGATTCCCATGCTAAACATGGACAAAGTTTCAAAAATGAAGTTGTAAGTTTGATGGAGTAATTCTGTTCCAAAAATACTCCTTCCGGGTTGTCACAAGTTTCGGAAAGTTTTTTTCGAATACGGGCGTGTGTGATGTCAGAGTGGCCGGAATTTCCTTATACGGGTCTTAAGGGCACTTCTCCCGGAAGGGCGCGCGCGCATCTGTAGCCTAGTGCGTGCGAGAGTACGCCTATGCCCATCAGAGCGCTGGGCTCGGCTGCGCTGCAATTAAAAAATGGCACCAAAAAAGTGTGTTTTTGGTTGCCAGGGCAAGACAACACTGCACAAATTTCCAAAGAACCCAGCGTTAAGGGACCTGTGGATGGATTTTGTTTTTCCAGAGCAGCAACGGAGTTGTGCAAGTGTTTTTGTTTGTTCCCTTTATTTCGACGGTAATAGTTTTATAAACAAGACCCAGTTCAACGCCGGATTTGCAGATCGCCTAATACTTAAAGATGGAGCAGTCCCAACGATAAAGGTTCACGGTCGTGCGTTGGAACCGCAGGCGGTGAGTAAAACTGCTTCAAATGTCTGTGAGTTGTTAACTATCGGCGTGTAAGCACAGCAAGTAAACAACATGATCACATACAGTTAATGTATCTATGGAGCATGCGATGTATGGTGTGTGTGTGTGTGTGTGTGTGTTTAAATACATTTGTTTAGCTGGCCACTGTAGGTGTCAGTTTGTTTATTGTAAAAATAAATCATGTCCTCATAAACCACGAGTCTGTCTGTTTACAACACACAAATGTTATAAAACTTGTGCATGACATGGTGTTCTAAAAACACTGCGCTCAAGTTCAAATCATTTATATTTAAAAAAAAAAAACGCTCGAGACCTTATGGTTTTCACCCATTTCACTGCCCATCTCACGTTTTTGTGAGCAAAAACGCGTTCTGTATGAACGAGCCCTTAGTATTGTTTAGATCCTTGTTCTGCATGGGATTACTATCTGATTGTTAGCCATGGTTTATTTTCGGATGTCACTCACAGCTTCCAGACGCTCTCAACGCAAAAGCTTCGCGCGCTCGTGTCGTGATTATTTAGCTCCGCCCACACGGCAAGCCTCCACCCGCTCGGGTTTTTCCGGAAAGACTCGGTACAGCCTATCTTTCTTTTATAAATATAATAAAACTAAAGACTTTTTGGAGATATGAAGGATGCAATACTACTTTATAGGTACTCAAGATTAACATGAGATTGAGTGAAACTGAGTGTTTCACCCCCCCTTTAACAGGTTATTGCCAACAAAGACTGTGGTGTGTTGGTGGGTAACTGGTCAAACTGCTATGGAGACGGAACTGCTCCTACTTCCTGGTGCAGCAGCAGCGCCATCCAGAAACAGTTCCACAAATGTGGAGGAATACCTGTCAAATATGGACAGAGCTTGGCCTTCGCTGGAGTCACCAACACACGTAAGAGTTCAGGCAGAATGGACAAGGAGAAAATAAGGGTTGAGAAAGGGATTGTAGATGTAATGCACACAGTCTTCTTCTCTTTCTCGTAGTGTTGAGATGTTTGGGCATTCCTGTTCGTCCGGTCACAAACTTCTGTTCTGCTCATGACACTGACGTTTGTTTGACAAGGGACGTCTATTTTGATGAGAAATTTCAGCTGATTGATTACATGAACCGTGATTCAATCTGGTAAGTATCGTGAACATTTGTGATGTTACCTCAAAAGTTCCTCTGAATATGCATGAAGTGAATGTCTTTCTTCTTCTCTTCGTGTAGGAACTATCACGTGTGGAATGAGGCCTGGATGGCTCGTCCCGACCTGCCATCTGGTTTTGGAGGTTGGCAGGTGGTTGACTCCACTCCTCAACTGACCAGCCAGGGCTTCTTCCGCTGCGGCCCAACATCTGTTGCTGCGATCCGCAGTGGACAGACCTTCCTGAAGCACGACGTGCCCTTCCTTTTCGCAGAAGTGCGTTAATTCCTTTATATTCTATCATGAATGGTTTAAATGGTTCTCTCTCATGTATCTGATAAATGCAATATATGCTAGATTAGTAATGTTTCTCATGTTCTAGGTGAACAATGATAGAGTCTACTGGCAGCGGAGATGTGATGGGACCTTTAGTGTTGTTCACGTTGAGAAAAGTGCTGCAGGTCACTGCATCAGCACCAAGGCCGTCGGCTCAGACAAACGATATCACTCACCTCTACAAACATCCACGAGGTGAAAACACATCTCAGTATGGTAACAGTCACACTTGGGAAATGTCTTGAATTTAAATGTCGACTTTATTAACATTTATCAGGTACGGAGGAAGAGCATACTGCTATAGAAACAGCCATTCGTCACGGCTCCAAGCGATGCACATACCCATTGCCCTGCGCGGAAGATGTGACCGTCAAAGTCAGCATGCATGGGGAAGGACCATGTGTAGGGAAGGATGCTGTGCTTTCCATCATTTTGCAGAATAAATGCAACTCGCCTCGTACCATCACCCTCTACAGTCAAGAGGCAGCCACATACTACACCGGAGTCCATAATGCTTTAGTGAGGAAGAGGAGCCAAGTGAACATTGAGCTGAAGGCCAGTGAGGGTGAGTGATGATAAAAGCTTGGAATCAACCCTGTGTTTTATGAGAGAGATTGCAGATACGTCTACATTAATACAGATTAGTGTTGTCAAAAGTAATTTTCAGTAAGTGAAATTTGAAAAATGTGACCGTTTGAGCGCTGTTGAATGGTATCGTAAACACCTCTGATTGGCCATTGTACTCACATGCTCATTGGGTATGTTTGTGATTGGCTAATCAACAGCGCTCAAAGCGTCACATTTTTTAAATTTCAGTACCGAATAGGTACCGAAGTCGGTACTTTTGACAACACTAATACAGATTAATTTTCCGTCCACACTGAGACGAGCTTCATGAAGACGCTCTCCAAAATAGATAAGGGGATGGCAACATGCACAGTGTTACTAAAGATACATGTTTTTTATATTACATTTCTGCAAAGATGACAGATTTACTCACAATTGCTATAAACCACACATTGAATGGCGATTGAGTGTGACCTGGATGCACCTCTTAGTGTTGGGATAGAACTAAAATGATGATGCCAGAAGAATAGTGTGAGAACTTAATTAAGTCTGGTCTCTCGGTATCATCTCAGTGAGTTATTACATTTTACGCATACACAGTAAGATGATTTAAAAGTAGTTCCAATAGTTCACTTCAAAATGAAAATTCTGTCATTTACTCACCCTCAAGTTGTTCCAAAGCTGTTTGAATTTCTTTCTTCTGCTGAACACAAAATTAGATATTTTGAAGAATGTTGGTGACCCAACTGCTGATGTACCCCATTGACTTCCATAGTATTTTTTGGATGGGTACACTGACCACTTTAAGTATCTGGGCTCCACCATCACCAGTCACTTGTTGCTTGATAAAGAAATAGACACACGTATTGCAAGAGCTGCTGCAATATTGTCCAAACTGAGCAAGAAAGTGTGGGATAACAATAACATCTCATTGAATACCAAACTCAGAGTATACCAAGCATGCGTTCTCAACACCTTGGTGTATAGCAGCGAAACCTGGACGACATTTGCCAGACAGGAAAACCGCTTGAACAGTTTCCATCTCCGCTGCCTGCGTCGAATCCTTGGTATAAACTGGGAAGACAAGATCACCAACACATCTGTCCTGGAACAGACAAATTCCCACAGCATGCACCTGTTGCTAACTCAACGTAGGCTGTGCTGGATAGGTCATGTGCGCCGTATGAAGGACGGCCGTATTCCCAAGGATATACTGTATGGTGAACTAGCTACAGGGCACCGTCCTGTAGGCCGACCAGCACTGCGTTACAAGGATGTTCTCAAGCGTGATTTGAAAACCACTGGCATATCCCCGGATACCTGGGAGCCTCTTGCAGAAAATCGCAGAGCATGGAGAACTACAGTAAGTGATGGAATCCAAAGGGGAGAAGCGAAGAGACTCCAGCAGTTAAAGGACAAAAGAAGTCACAGGAAGGAGGGGAAACCAAGCCATGACTCCAACCCGCCATCCAGCTTTGTCTGCCTAAATTGCGGCAGAGACTGCCATGCAAGGATAGGACTACTGAGCCACAACAAAATTGACTGAAAAAGATAAAGAAGGCGCAGCCATTGTCTTTCGAGACAGAAGGGGCCTATATATACAATGGGGTACATCAACTGTCTGGTAACCAACATTCTTCAAAACACTTCTTTTGTGTTCAGCAGAAGAAAGAAACTTGAGGGTGAGTAAATTATGACAGAATTTTCATTTTGAAGTGAACTATTCCTTTAATTTTCTAAAATTTCAGTGAAGACAAGAAACATTTGGAGCACTTAAAACGCTAGTGTGGGTGGAAACGTTTAGTGTGGTGTCTTGAAACGAAAACGCCATTTTCAAATGCATCTAGATCTATGTAGCATGCAACTGTTTTAAAAGGAGACTTGTTTATCTCTTTTCATTCAATAGTCCAGACTCTACCGTGGACCCTGCGATATGACGAGTATAAGAACCACCTAGTGGATCAGGCGGCCTTGATGCTCCATCTCTTTGGACAGGTCGCTCAGACCAAACAGATTCTGGCCACTCAGTTCCACTTCAGAACTGCGCACTCCAGATCTAGTTATATCTGTGAGTCTAGCAGGTTCTCTCTTTTAAACTCTTTATGGGTTGGTGATGGCCTAGAATACAAGGGTTACATGATTATTGGTGGGAACTGGCCATGGATTTTACGGTTCATAAACTTGAAATACATTTAAATAAATTGTTTACCTTTCAGCCTGTATGTGATGCAGTCCTGGGTCAAGAAGTGCCAGTCAAAATCACATTCCAAAATCCACTGCCTTGTGTCCTAAAGAATGTGATATTTCGTATTGAGGGTCTGGGACTGAAGCATTCCAGAATTGTTAGCTATGGGTAAGATAAATTTAACACAATCTCGCAAGAAAACAACTACTTTACAAGGTGATGATTTAATATGAATTTGTGCGGTGTTAGAAAAAAGTACACATTAAAAAAAGTCTTAAACATAACCATCACTGGTGCGCAAGCAGATCGTACAAGACTGAACGAATGAGATTTGAGATACAAGACAGAACGAATTAGTCATCAATTTGCCAAAACATCAAATAGTTGTGGAATGCCAGGAGCTTGTGTTGAATTAATTATATATATACACTCACCGGCCACTTTATTAGGTACCCCATGCTAGTAACGGGTTGGACCCCCTTTTGCCTTCAGAACTGCCTCAATTCTTCGTGGCATAGATTCAACAAGGTGCTGGAAGCATTCCTCAGGGAGTTTGGTCCATATTGACATGATGGCATCACACAGTTGCCGCAGATTTGTCGGCTGCACATCCATGATGCGAATCTCCCGTTCCACCACATCCCAAAGATGCTCTATTGGGTTGAGATCTGGTGACTGTGGAGGCCATTTTAGTACAGTGAACTCATTGTCATGTTCAAGAAACCAATTTGAAATGATTAGAGCTTTGTGACATGGTGGAAGTAGCCATCAGAGGATGGGTACATGGTGGCCATAAAGGGATGGACATGGTCAGAAACAATGCTCAGGTAGGCCGTGGCATTTAAACGATGCCCAATTGGCACTAAGGGGCCTAAAGTGTGCCAGGAAAACATCCCCCACACCATTACACCACCACCACCAGCCTGCACAGTGGTAACAAGGCATGATGGTTCCATGTTCTCATTCTGTTTACGCCAAATTCTGACTCTAACATCTGAATGTCTCAACAGAAATCGAGACTCATCAGACCAGGCAACATTTTTCCAGTCTTCAACTGTTCAATTTTGGTGAGCTCTTGCAAATTGTAGCCTCTTTTTCCTATTTGTAGTGGAGATGAGTGGTACCCGGTGGAGTCTTCTGCTGTTGTAGCCCATCCGCCTCAAGGTTGTGCGTGTTGTGGCTTCACAAATGCTTTGCTGCATACCTCGGTTGTAACGAGTGGTTATTTCAGTCACTGTTGCCCTTCTATCAGCTCGAACCAGTCTGGCCATTCTCCTCTGACCTCTGGCATCAACAAGGCATTTCCGCCCACAGAACTGCCGCTCACTGGATGTTTTTTCTTTTTCGGACCATTCTCTGTAAACCCTAGAGATGGTTGTGCGTGAAAATCCCAGTAGATTAGCAGTTTCTGAAATACTCAGACCAGCCCTTCTGGCACCAACAATCATGCCACGTTCAAAGTCACTCAAATCAACTTTCTTCCCCATACTGATGCTTGGTTTGAACTGCAGGAGATTGTCTTGACCATGTCTACATGCCTAAATGCACTGAGTTGCCGCCATGTGATTGGCTGCTTAAAATTAAGTGTTAACGAGCAGTTGGACAGGTGTACCTAATAAAGTGGCCGGTGAGTGTATATATATATATATTTATTTTTATTTTTTTATTGTTATGATACAATATTAGGATATGTAATATGTGTTGCTATATGGTTTTAGTATGTAATAATTCTCTTTTTCTCAGTGATATCGCAAGCCTGGGCACAGTGAATCTGACAGAGACATTTATTCCAGTGCGACATGGTGCACAGAAACTACTGGCGTCCCTCGACTGTCCTCAACTCAATCAAGTGCATGGTGTCAACATGTTGCCAACATTACTGTTAAACAGTGAAAAAGTTTCTTTGAACTGTAAACTTGTTCATCATGATCTCAGAGGAGATTGCCCTCAGGGTGTTTTATGCCTGACATTTTTTCATCTTGTCATAAAAAAATAAAAAAATAATTCTGAATAAAAACATTTGAGAACTTGTATATTTTTGGTTGTTGTTATGGTGAATATTTCTATCATTTAGCCATTTTGTTAATTATGTGCTGCCTCAGCATCAAGAACAATGTCTATAATTTATTTACTTTTATGTGTGATAAGTCTGTAGTACTTCTGGGTAATAATAATAATCTGGACCAACATTCAAAATGGAATTGTTGAATTGTCAAACATCCCATTATGAAAGCTATGCCTACTGTATGTTGCAATAACATTCAAATTATAATAAATGTATATGTATAAACACACCCATCTCTATGTGTCATTTACAGCAGCCGTGTGGGTTGGACTATAGGTGTGTGCAAGTTTACGAGTGTAGGCATCCAAATTTGATTCCTTCACATACAGGTCCTTCTCAAAAAATTAGCATATTGTGATAAAGTTCATTATTTTCCATAATGTAATGATACAAATTAAACTTTCATATATTTTAGATTCATTGCACACCAACTGAAATATTTCAGGTCTTTTATTGTTTTAATACTGATGATTTTGGCATACAGCTCATGAAAACCCAAAATTCCTGTCTCAAAAAATTAGCATATTTCATCCGACCAATAAAATAAATGTTTTTAATACAAAAAAAAAAGTCAACCTTCAAATAATTAGGTTCAGTTATGCACTCAATAGTCAATACTTGGTCGGGAATCCTTTTGCAGAAATGACTGCTTCAATGCGGCGTGGCATGGAGGCAATCAGCCTGTGGCACTGCTGAGGTGTTATGGAGGCCCAGGATGCTTCGATAGCGGCCTTAAGCTCATCCAGAGTGTTGGGTCTTGCGTCTCTCAACTTTCTCTTCACAATATCCCACAGATTCTCTATGGGGTTCAGGTCAGGAGAGCTGGCAGGCCAATTGAGCACAGTAATACCATGGTCAGTAAACCATTTACCAGTGGTTTTGGCACTGTGAGCAGGTGCCAGGTCGTGCTGAAAAATGAAATCTTCATCTCCATAAAGCTTTTCAGCAGATGGAAGCATGAAGTGCTCCAAAATCTCCTGATAGCTAGCTGCATTGACCCTGCCCTTGATAAAACACAGTGCACCAACACCAGCAGCTGACATGGCACCCCAGACCATCACTGACTGTGGGTACTTGACACTGGACTTGAGGCATTTTGGCATTTCCTTCTCCCCAGTCTTCCTCCAGACTCTGGCACCTTGATTTCCGAATGACATGCAAAACTGAGCAACAGTCCAGTGCTGCTTCTCTGTAGCCCATGTCAGGCGCTTCTGCCGCTGTTTCTGGTTCAAAAGTGGCTTGACCTGGGGAATGCGGCACCTGTAGCCCATTTCCTGCACACGCCTGTGCACGGTGGCTCTGGATGTTTCTACTCCAGACTCAGTCCACTGCTTCCGCAGGTCCCCCAAGGTCTGGAATCGGTCCTTCTCCACAATCTTCCTCAGGGTCCGGTCACCTCTTCTCGTTGTGCAGCGTTTTTTGCCACACTTTTTCCTTCCCACAGACTTCCCACCGAGGTGCCTTGATACAGCACTCTGGGAACAGCCTATTTGTTCAGAAATTTCTTTCTGTCTTACCCTCTTGCTTGAGGGTGTCAATGATGACCTTCTGGACAGCAGTCAGGTCGGAGGTCTTACCCATGATTGCGGTTTTGAGTAATGAAACAGGCTGGGAGTTTTTAAAAGCCTCAGGAATCTTTTGCAGGTGTTTAGAGTTAATTAGTTGATTCAGATGATTAGGTTAATAGCTTGTTTAGAGACCCTTTTCATGATATTCTAATTTTTTGAGACAGGAATTTTGTGTTTTCATGAGCTGTATGCCAAAATCATCAGTATTAAAACAATAAAAGACCTGAAATATTTCAGTTGGTGTGCAATGAATCTAAAATATATGAAAGTTTAATTTTTATCATTACATTATGGAAAATAATGAACTTTATCACAATATGCTAATTTTTTTAGAAGGACCTGTATATGTATCCAAGTGTTTCAGATATGTAATGATATATTATATATTCTAGGGGCTCTATATTCTAGCTGAGCCCCCAGTGTGAGCTTTTAGTTTTAGTTTTAGAACATTATATTGGACCGCCATGTTATTTTGCTCTACAATTCAGAGAACTGCATTTGTCGGATTTAAATTCATCCATTTCTCCCGAAATACATTAGTGGTCGGTGAAATGGATGAAAAATAGAGTAAACTTTTTAGTTTCCTATAATGCATATCTGATATGAATAAAACACTTCGTCAAATTATAATTGAAAGGATTATTATCGCAGCTTCTATCAGTTTATGGAATTTGTAACAAACTATAAATGTCTATTTAAATGTCTGAAACCTAATTTAAACATTATGTGGTTAAAAACACGGAATAGTTTGTGATACATAAAGCACAGAGCATGTCCGTCTCTGGTTTAGCAACAGCACGTTTGAATTATCAGTGACTCACTGAACGTTATAATCACACCGTCATTATAAGTGTGCATAATAAGCATAATAAGTGTGATTACAATAATGCATTGTATGCATATAATATGTATATAAAGAGAGATAATCAAAATACTAGATATTCTGTGTAAAAAAAAAAAAATTTAAATTCTAATTTTATTCAACTTTTACTGATCATATCATTTGCAATGAAAAGATCTATTAAATGAAAACTATCCTAAATTGAAGCATTTTCACTAGTGACCCAACTTAAATAACAAAAACTAAAACATAAAGCAAACATATATATACAGTCGTGCTCAGAATTAATGGTACCCCTGGTAAATATGATCAAAAATGGCTGTAAAAAATAAATCTGCATCGTTTATCATTTTGATCTTTCATTCAAAAAATTGCCCAAAATCTAACCTTAAATTGAAGTAAAAGAATTAAAAGTGGGGGGGGAATCACTTTATGAAATGTTTTTCTCCAAAACACGTTGGCCACAATTATTGGCACCCCTAGAATCTTTTACGAGTAACATATCTCTGAAGTATATTCCCATTAATGTTTATCTTTTTTAGCACACCAGGGTGACTAGGAACATGAAATTGTCTAGCTATGACTTATTGTTTCACAGGAGTTTAAATATGAGTAAACACAAAGGCCAAATTCCCTTAATCATCCGTGACAATGAGTCAAACCAAAGAATATAGTTCTGATGCGCATCAAAAGATTGTTGAGCATCTCAAAACAGAAAGTGGCTGTAAGAAAAGAGTTTAAAATCCCCATTTTGACCATCAGGGCATTAATTAAGAAGTTCCAAACAACTAAAGATGTTACGAATCTGCCAGGAAGAGGACGTGTGTGTGTATATTGTCTTAATGCACAGCGAGGAGGAAAGTTTGAGTGGCCAAAGACTCTTCAAGGATCACAGATGGAGAATTGCAGAGATTAGTTGAGTCTTGGAGTCAGAAAGCCTATAAAAAATATCAAACAACCCCTACATCACCACATGTTATTTGGGAGAGTTTCAAGAAAAATCCTCCTCGCTCATCCAAGAACAAACTCCAGCAAATTCAGTTGTCAGACACGACTGGAACTTCAAACGGCACAGGCTTCTGTGGTCAGATGAAACTAACAAAAGAGCTTTTTGGCAGCAGACACGCAAGATGGGTTTGGTGCACACAAGGATAAAAAGTACCCCATGTGTTACAATTTAATAAACCATTGGATCTTTAATGTTGTGGGCATATTTTTCTGCTGGAGGTCCTGGACATCTTGTTCAGACACATGGCATCGTGGCTTCTATCAAATATCAACAGATAAAAAATCAAAACATGACGGCTTCTGCTAGAAATCTTAATATGGGCCATGGTTGGATCTTCTATCAGGACAATGATCCAAAACAAACATCAAAATCAATAAAAAAAATGTGTCAATGAGCACAAAATGAAGCTTCTGCCATGACCGTCCCAGTTCCCTGACATGAACCCTATAGATTGAAAATGAGTGTGTTCAACTGAAGAGGAGAAGCACCACCAACATTGATCTGGGAATCTGCAGGATCTGGAGAGATTCTGTGTGGAGGAATGGTCTCTGATCTCTTGTCAGGTCTCTTGATCTCTTCTCCAAACTCATCAGGCATTATAGGAGAAGACTATGAGTTGTTGTTATCTTGGAAAAAGGAGATTGCAAAAAGGATTTAATAAAAGGGTGCCAATAATTGTGGCCAACGTATTTTGGAGAAAAACATTAATTTCATAATGTGAATGAAATTCACATTATGAAATATGTGAATTTCATTCACATTTCATTCCCCCCCCCCCACCCACTTTCAATTCTTTTACTTCAATTTAAGGTTCGATTTTTGGCAATTTTTTGAATGAAAGATCAAAAGGATAAACCAGTTTTGATCATATTTACCAGGGGTACCATTAATTCTGAGCACGGCTGTATATATATATATATATATATATACACACACACACACACACAGTATATATACATACACACTCAACAACAGTAAATACTCGTCTACCAAAAAAAACACGGTCTACTCTCTACTGATCAAAAGCCTAACCTTTGGCTTTTTAATACATAAAAAAATGAATGCTTATAAGAGGTAGCTGTCTGATGGGAAATATTAGTCTCTTTTGGGTAAAGACATGGTTATGTTAATTTATTAATCACAGGCTGATCTGCAAATATATTGCGTGCTGGGAAAATATACTTCTTGCTCTTTTGTATATCTCACACCCCTAATTGTAGTGTGCTTACTTTACAGATTTGCATGATGATTGAATTTTAATCTTTAAATTTTAATCACAGAATTGAATCCACCACCTACATAATTATTTCATTACTTAGGAACCAGTTATTCTTTTTTCACTGAATATCTTTTTACTTATGTGTATTATCG